AATTAAAAACATTTTAAAAAATATATTAAAACTATGTACTGTGTTTCTGACAACCTATTGAGAGTACTCCTCTATTGTCAATGCAAACAAATCTTGGTTTTTGTAGACTAAGATCTTGCACTTTTGGTGGAAATTCTCAAAAAAGTTTCTAGATCCTTCCTTGTGGAGTCTCTGTTACACTGAAGACCACATTACATGTGCCCATTAATTCCTTTCTGTGACCTGTGTCTGGCTCTGGCCAGGACTTGGGTATGTCTTGGAATAAAGGGAGCAGTATCAGAGCTCTGTCAGCAGAGTCTGCAACACACAGACTCATTAACTAAGTCTACACTGGAATGACGTCATAGCAGACTGGAACAGTGGGCAAAATAAACATTTTGTCTTTTCTGTGTGCAAGGGGAATCCTTCTAGCCTCTTTCCATTAAAAATAATGTTGTCTGTTGTGCCTTGTATATTATGAGGAAAATATTCCCCATTTCTACCCTTTTATGAAAGGTTTTAGGAATTTCTAAAATATCGCTTCAAGAACTGAGATGGTCTTGGGATTCTTGAATTCCGTTTATGTAATGGAATATGGGAATTGACTGGCAAGATGCAAAACACTCAGCATACATGAAGATCAATGTCTCATAGCCTACTACTTCTTTGATGTATTCTTAACTCCTTCTGGCTAAAATGTCACTGAGAATCTTCATGTCTATATTCACAAGGAGGGAGCTCTGACAGCCTGTTCCAGAGTGAGCTGAGGTGCCAACCCAAAGGCGTTTCAAATCCACTAGCTGCTCTAGAGGAGAGAGAAGACCAAATCTCCTCCATGTAGTGAACATTCTTGCAACAAAAACAGAGCTTTGAGCTGGAAGCCAACAGCCTGCATTTTCTGAAATACATCTATCACCCATCTGGTCATTACGTCCAGGAGAGGGATTTTATGTGGCTATCGTACCAGGGCCACGCCTGCTTCCCAGGATGAACTCAAGTCATACCTTTTTTTTTGTTTGTTTCGTCTGGATCAATTACTTGTTTCCTGGATTGTCTTTTTTTTTTTTAATTATTAAATTTCATTACTTTTGAACATTTAGAGATTTTGGGTTTTCATTCATTCATTGTTGCACGGTTTTCTCTCCCCTCCTCCCCAGTTCGTTCTTCTTCCCCCCCATGTCTGTTTTAATTGTCCAATTGCCACAGTGCTTGTCGAAGCCAGTTCTGATTAATCTCCTTTGTCAGTGTGTCCTTTGCCATTCCCTATCTCTCCTCCCGGAGAGAGACTTCACCCTGATTCATAAGGAAAA